GGTTCGGGTTTTCTTGCTCTTTTAACTTTACAATAGAACTTATCAGCAGTATCACGCAACTTGAAAACTTTTATAATTTTTCTCACTTTTATGTTTTCAATTGTGTACATGTAAATCAGATTGTTGACAAAGAACTAGTTTACATTAGACGCCCATCTGGTCCGTACTTTTGAGTCCTCTTTTTGTATGCCTTGAATTGCTTTTGCTTCATCATTCAATGTTTTGAGAAGACATAATAACAATAGAATACTAATATTCTACCTAATACAATACTTGCCTTACATTTTTTATTTGTTTAGTCTATTTTCAGAATATTATGTCATTTTTTATTTCAGAAAGCCAAGAAACAAAGGTATCGGTTTGCAGCACTAGTTGATGAGCTGCGCAACACAGAGAATGTGGAATATCAAACGACCTTGCTGGAGTTTATTAACTGTATAATCGTATATGCAGACAAAATCCAAGATCGTGTGCGAATCAGGAACGAATTTTTTGGTGAGCCCTTATTAATGTTGACATTTTCCAAAATATATGCCATATTAAAGAACATTTGTCAAGTATAATTCAAAATGTCCGACTTCTGGTCAAAATCTCTCCTTTTTTAAAGTGTTCAATATCTGAAAAGAAAAATCTGGACCTTGTCCTACATTTCTATTTATTGACATCTAAATGACCCGATTTCTTTTAAAAACACAAAGATTGATACACCTTTTACGATAATCGGTTTTGGTATTAGAGGAGTTCCCGCAATAAACGATAAGAACTCTTTGTGTATATTTTGACCCTATCTCTATTTTTCATTCAGAGGACATGGGAAAAAGTAATAGGTGAAACCGATTGGGAATTATATATTTTTTTTAGAAATTCTAAAACGAGTTTTCATGTTTTTCTTCTTTAAGAGGGATAAAAAATAACAAGTCTCGCCATGGGGCGAAAATGCCGCTTGTCTGCAACTGATATGGGTCAGGCTTTGAATGGAAAGGGATTGTACTACGATAATAAAGTACACAGTTAAGTTGTGGGGTCCCTTCAAGCGTGTTTTAATTACCACATATAGATGTTTAGCATCAAATGTCTTAAACACAAAAGAAAGTGATATACATGAACTAGGGTGGGATTCTAAAAGAAGAAATGAATGAAGTCCATTCAACTTATTCATTTCGTAAAAAGAATTTGTTAAACAGGGTATTTTAAAAATGAAGTCTTGAAACTTGACTTTGCAAAAATTACCAACGATGCACAAATTTAAAACAGACACTAAGTAAGAAACTGTGTAAACTTTAAGCTTATTTTTTGTACTGTATTATCAGGAATTTTTTCATGTGTTAGTTTATCTGAAGAGCTTAAAAGAACTATAGAAATTTAATTACTTTTAAGAACCATTGCAGTGCAACAATTAAACCCAAACAAAATTTAATATGGTAATATAAGCTCACAAATCTCTTCTTTGTCACTCACATGTCAAAACAACTCAGGGCAAAGGTCCTGGTGCTACGCCCAGCCATATCAGGACGAGAACCAATACAGAGGCAGGGGACATACGAGTGGTTCCCGACTGTAGTGCACTTAAGACATGAAACATAGACAATAGACTCTTTCTACAAAGACACCCCAAAAATGCACATTGTCGGTTCTCTGCATCAAAGAAACCTTGTTCAACAACAAGAGGGTCCTTTCTGGTGCAAACACAGTTGTAAAATTCCACAAAGTATACCCGATAGGGGCAGTGTGTGAGTCATCTAACTCGGCGTGATTTTTATGAGGACCTCGTACCTGTAGTTTATATAAACATTCGGGTTGTATATAATTTTTCTACTTCTCTAACATTGCACAAAACGTCAATAGGTCAAGCAGCTTCCTATTATATACCCCACTTTCCGTCTTTGCAACCATTTTAACTGCATAATGTGACTTCTCACACCTCTATTAAATGTAAAGTCGTCGTTTAATTTAACGGTCATGATATCACCCTCATCTTTCTTTTGTATAACTTTAATGAAGTTCTCAACTACAAATTTTGGAACAGAGAGACCAAGAGCTCTTGTTGCATCGTTTCAATGGAAAGGTGCGCTAATTGAGTGAGACTATTATACAACCTTAAACCATTACACATTTTAATCTCAACAGGTTTACACATTCAATTAATTTTGGCGTTTAAAGCTAATTTAAAACCAACTTCAACACATGCCACCAAAATGAAAAACATTTCCAACTGAAATTAACACAATGATATTAATCCATTTATCGGAGAATTAACGACACACACTTGAGGTAGATTTCAAGAGCACCCAGGTGTAATCTGACCAGGAATGTCGGCAATCCGTGGTGGACTGTGGAATTTTTAACTTTTTTTAATAAATATTTAGTGCAATGACTTGCCTTAGGTCTCCAAAACAAAAATGCAATATTAGGGGCATTGTCACAAAGGTTTACCTATGCCAGGTAGTTATAAAATGCCTGGATCTGCTCTGATTTCTTCCTCGTTATCACTTTCTCCTGACATGTTAGAAAGCTAGGAGGTAAATAGGTCCTCTAATAAAATGACATCAGGGAAATAAAATGTAATCTTTTTTTACTAGCATTGGAGGATTATTTTACTTGTCATTTTTGGCGATGGGTTCATGGTCCCATGAAAAATTAGTTAACTTGTTTTGACATTTTTTTTTTCGTATTACTATATTTGTAATTTTTCCTATTATTAAAGTAAGTAAAACGTATTTGATCTCCAAACATTTATACTTCCTCATTTATGAAGGGATAATACATTTTCCCGTAGGTGAATTATAATAATGAAGTTTTTATTTTATTTTCAGGTTTAAGATTGCAAGAAATTTTAAACAGATTACGGTAAGTTTAAATCGTGTCTTTAAAAAAAATCCTTAATTCATCTCCTATAGTATGTTGCAAAGGTTGTATGTGTTAAAATTTATACAATTCTGAAACATTTTTTGTCCATGTGCAATAATTTTGCATTCCTAAGAGTAGTATACATCTGCTTCTCGGCTAGGATGAGACAATGCATCTCATGCTGACGAATTATTAATGACACAAAATGGTTATTGACGTCTGCATAGTGATTTGCTTTTACTTTTGGCTGATTTTGCAAATCACCTCCCTTCTTTCTCTGTTGTTCCTCCTCATTTGAATCTTGCAAGACAACAAAAACTTCGATTTGTGCAAAAACTCCAATGACGTCATCAATGGATTTAAGTGAACGTTTACTTTGGTACCGATGCGAGCTGTGTCACTTATGTCCTTCAAGGTATGCGATCGTTATGGTTAGAAGTGACTAACTGTTTGTCGTGGGAGGGGGCTCTCCAGACTGCTTTTAATAATGTTTATTTTCCCTTTTGACCAGTCCTCAAAAGCTCTTTTTGGCAATATTTACACATGTTTGGTTAAAATAGAATTCAATTGATCCGTGGATAACTGTCCGGGGCTATTTTTCTCTGTCATGGTTATCAAAATCATATGATTCCTATTTTGGGCTTTTTAAGAGACAAGTCTGGCCTTGAATGCCTTTATTTAAAACTTTACGTGCATCACTTACCATGCTTTAAAAATCATGGACAGAATTTTTAAGGGTAAAGTCAGAAAGTTATGAATGGACGAAATCTGATATGAATAAGAAGGGTGTGTATAGTATTTATTTCTTGAAATTGATTATCCCTACCAAACCGCCATGACGGTATAAGGTATAGGTCGGACCAGCTAGTATAACTTACGGCTACTTGTTCACGGTTTGAAGTTTTATCAAGGCCAAGATTATGCAGCGCATAGAATGTTCATATAGGTAGCAGAATGTTTAGTGCGCGTACAGAATATTTGGCTGCTTTTTGTCAGAAATTTGCAAACGATTAATCATAAGTCATCAGAAAGGGGTCTGATGCATCTATGATGTACATGTATATTTAAATTTAAGCATATTAAAATTATTATGAATTTCGCAACAGAAACGTTTATTTTTGCAAAAACAGTCTTTTTATGATTTACATGGGTAAAGTCGTCTTGGGACTTACAGTTGATTGGAGGGGAACTAATATAAGCAAACCGTTTGACTATAAAACTTTTGCTGATTTTTGTTATGTGTTAGACGATATTTTTCCCTCTGATATTTGAGAAGATTATCTGTCGAGGATATAAGAACAACTGTAGCGTATTATCCAGGCCAGAAGAAGATCGCGCAAAACCCCGTGTTATCTCGTAATCTTCACGAGAATAAAACAGGGTGTCAGGCGTTCACGTTACATCAACTTTTCATAATACACCCAGAATTATACATATTGTACAGATTTCTTTCCTTCTGTTCACTCAGGTTATTTCCTGTGATCAGTCAAACAAAGGAAGATATAAATGTGGGTAATGGGCTAAGCTAGTTCATCTATGTAAAAAGACTACTTGTAATTTAAAAATGGGTTTTAAAATTCAACCTGTCAGCAATTTTGCACTTAAATTAATTTCCTTCCAAACTGAAACTTTAGAAAATACCTGCAGCCAAAACTGATTACTTCAGACACCAGTAATGTTGCTTTATTGGCAAACACATGTAAAGAATTCAGTTCGACAACTATGATAGATAACATTTTTAAAACGACATTTTATTCTATTGTTGTTTGTTCCATGCACAATTAATCCTTCGATATCCGTGGATACTAGTATACCTGTCTGCTATCAAGATTAATGGTTCTTAATTCATAAACTCCCAATCAAGTTAACGAAAATTCGCTGGGAAAATCTGTACAAGGAAAAGAAGGGACACCCACTTATGAAATGACAGATTGATAATTATTGTGAGTTTTTTTTCCGATGCTTGCGATTATGACTGTTTCTGCGTGGTACACCTGACAGTAAGATCTGCCGCCCTATAAAAATGTTATTACTTTATTCCATTAGTTGTTATCCAGTTATTTGTGTTTGGTAACATCTTGTGTTTCCTTGTGTAGGCGGAAAGAAGAGCAAAAAGAAAGCGTGCTCACACAGCTAGATGTGTTCGATCAGCATCGCGAGGAGGACGAGGAGGCGATGCCCGGGGCCAAGGGCGTGGATCTAAACAGCCCTCTAGATGTCTTCCACGCTATATATAATCAGGTGGGAGTCCACAAACAATAAACAAACAAAACAACAGAGAAAAAAGACATTAATATGTTATCACAATAAACTAGTTTGTGGATTAGAAATTCAAAAATCAGAAATATATATTATTCGCTCATGGAAAAGGGGTTTTTAATGCTTATATGTTATATTATTGATAATGCATTGAAGGTATCTTTTCATACAAGGAATAAGATCTTGTACAGCTGTTGTGATGATGACTTGCAAAGAATGGTTTCTACATTACATTGTCATGTTTGTATATGTATTATCCATCTGTCTAGCACCTTCTTCACAGAATCATTGGGGAGTCGCCTTAGTGTCACGAAAAATTAGCATGCTTAGTGACCGAGAAGCAAATAGCAATATAAGCTAGACATTTAATTACAAACAGATTAGCAAGACTAATTTTTACAATATGCTTTTATTCTGACACGAACCCATCGCGTTACGCCATATTGTTTGCATTCTGTTGTCTTAACACTGTTCGAAGTTTGCCATTGGTTGTCTAGTTTAACTTCCATTGGCGCGATCTGTGTGAATGTTGGCCAGTTCCCCGCTGACAAATATTTGAGAAAGAAAACGACTTATAACAGCTCTGTTCAAACAATTTGGGCTGTTCATCTTGACATTTCTCTTGATCTCTTTGTTTAAATCCTGGAGTACATGTAATTTCTTTTCCGGGAACATCTACCAAATGCTTGATTTCTTTAAAATTTCTGATAGCAGTGAACTCAGCTATCGGAGATACAGACGTAACCTGGATGAAACATAATGTAAACAAAACATCAAAGGGACACCTGTCTGAGAGAGGGGAAAAACAAAAACAAGTAGACGATGTCGAGTCATGCAGTGTGCTGGCCACATTGTCACAGAAAAACGCACAACCATATTTATTGCAATCGTACGAACAGCAATCTTTAGACCAATAGGTTAATGTAGATTGAGCGGATTTACACACTCCTTTTGACAAAATACTTCGTGGTTAATCCACTTTGGAATATAAACTAGCCCGGATTTTCATTAATATGTGATTGACCGATGGACAGTTACTAATCTGTGATTATGGTTAGTGTATATAGACCACCATAAGAGTGTTGTTTTTAGTTAATAAGAATTATTATGTGACTGATATGTCAACTACACGGAACACCAGGATGGTAATGTTGGAGTTAATATTTATATATTATCTAAGTTTAATTAATTTTTAGTCTTAAATTATATATGTTTTAATTTTTAATTATATATTAAATTCTGTTTTAGATCGGTGATTCTCCACAAGAGCTTAGCTTCCTGACGACGCTTCAGCATATGCTGAAAATTGATCCATCTGATTCTAACAGTGAATTAATATGGCAAACTCTCGAAAAACTTGTGTGTAAAGCCACCTTAATAGAATCCAAAGAGGATGCGCAGAAACTAATGATGACTTCTCATCGAAAGCGGGAAAAATCCGTCGATGGACCTTGTACATGCTCTTGTCACAATGGAGAAAGAGCACGAGTGATGTCGCCACGGCGGTCCAATAATGTATCTCTAACAGATCTTACCTCAACAGAAAGTGTTTCAACCAAAGACGCACCTCCCCCTCCGCCACCCCCCGCCCCAATGCCACCACCGCCGCCGCCAGGAATGGCGCCCCCACCACCACCTCCCCCACCCATGGCTCCTGGTATACCTCCACCCCCTCCTCCGCCGGGAGGTCCCGCTGGGATCCCTCCGCCCCCTCCTTTGGGAGGGGCACGATTTCCTAGTGCTACGCCTCAGGTAAAACTACCTCAGCAAAATGTACCCAAACCTAAAACCAAAATGAGGACTTTGCAATGGAGCAAAATTCCGGCCAGTAAAGTTATGTCTGGAAAACCCAACATCTGGCAATCAGTTGGGAAGCGATTTAATGGATATGTGAAAGAAATGGACTTCAATAAGATGGAGGATCTATTCAGTATCAGTGCTCCTCCCGACAACTCGGAAAAAGTCGTCGGTGGAAATCTCTCGGAGAGACGGAAGCGGGAACTGACGGAGGTAAGGGAATTTAATATTATAGGGTGTCGTTTTACTTTGAAATTCCAATTGTATCAGTAAGTTTGGTATAATTAACCTTGTAGTCAAATGACAAGATCTCTGCAGGGATTTCGTGTGTCATGATCGAGTGTCGTGCATTGTAAACAAGGTTATAGGGACAATTGCAATGGTTAGCTTGACAGATTTGACAATTAGTCACCTGCACAAATTGCTACAAAAAATTACTTGTGATAAAGCCCTGATGCTATCTAAGACAATAGCATTCCTAAAAAACAATACAACACATGTAGCCCTCTAATCAAAGACTTTATCACTGTGTTATCATCATATCAAACTGGATCAACTTAGCACGGATCCATGGCATTGTTCTGGGTATTTAGCCCGACTCAAGGGGAGGTCTCTTTACAGTAAGGTCACCCTTGGAAACAGGATTTGTCCCTCACCCTCTGACGAAGGAAGCTGGCCTGACTGGGAAATATGTGTACCGACTGACACACACTTTTTGTCTATTATACGTTTATGAATATATGACCGAGTTGTTGAATTGGGACACGTTTTTTATTTATTGTTTCTGCCATTAGCCCCCAATGACGACTCGCTTGTCTTATTCTTAATCACCTTTGTTATAAGATACAGTCCCAATATTTTGGTTCAAGTTTTAGGATATGTTTTTAGAAGTGTAGTTGAGTCGAGAATCGCAAATAAGCGGTCAGCGACGCTAATTGCTCTCTTACTCTGTTTGTCTTTATTGGTTAATGAATTCATAAATCATGGGTATGGAAAAACCGCCACTATTTGTAGAAACTCGTGTTTTACTTTATTTGCAATAGGTAAAAACTGTTGGATACTGCAAACAAATTAAATGCCCGAATTTTGAAATATAACACTTCACAGAAATCCTTGTAGTTTTTTTTTCTATCATTATAATTCCATTATCTTTTTAAAATTATAATGCTTGTCAATGTGAAAAAAATATTTACTGTATTTAGATCTAAAACTTGTTTTCATGCTGAAGTTAGTCTCATTGTTTGGTCAACACGCACGTAACAACTCCTCCCCAATAGGTAATGGTCAAGAAAATATCAACACACCTGTGTTCGAATGTGTGTATTACATATATGTAAATAAACAACAAAATCAGCATAGCCATAACTTTATTTACGTGAACTTAATAACACCTCTTACTTTTTCACAAATTTACATGTACTTGGTAATCAGGTTACAAATATATAACAGCTCTTAATGAACTCAGCAAAAATCTGAAGTTGTTTAACGATCCTTTATGTGGTTAAGTAGTGTAAAAATATTATGACAGAGATTTCAGACCTGATTTGTTAATTTTATACCTGATTTGGGAATAGTTTCATTCCTTTGTCAGAATTAACGCTGGCATCATAGGGTATGTCTGAAGACCAAAACCTTTCCTAATATTTCGCCCTTAAATGAACCCAAGAAAGAAACTCATTTATGTATATAAAAAAATCAAACTACATGTATATGCAGAAGAATAAAAGCTTATTTACTATACAACACGCCATTCTTTGTAGATAAACTTACTGGAGGGAAAGAGAAGTCTGAATATCAATATCTCCTTAAAACAGTTCCGAATGTCAAACGAAGAAATTATAGAACTTCTCCGAGAAGGTCCGAGTGAAAAAATTGGTGCCGAGAAACTCAGGGGACTTTTGAAAATAATGCCGTACGCAGACGAGGTAAAACTAATTGTTTTATATAATAAAGAGAAGAAATATTCATAAGCCGGTATTTTCGCATTAATTATGTTAATTTCTGTACTTAGTGGAAATGAAAAAAAAGATTTATGATGATTTATAAAAGAAAAATGTACAAATTGATTATATTTGTTTTGAAAAATTATTTCATTTTTGTTTTTATAGATTGAATTACTTCGAAGTTATGAAGGTGACCGAGACAAGCTCGGAAGTGCCGAAAAATTCCTATTGTGCCTTATGGATCTTCCCCAGTAAGTGATTTATGTTCAATTGATCTATTTTTGCTATTTCTTTTTGTAAAATCGTAAAATAAATAGGGAAATGTATTTGTTCCCCTATTAACTTTTTTATGAAATAATTAGTTATAGGATACGTATCGAAGGTATGCTGATTAGAGAAGAGTTTACCAACGATATGGAATGGATCCGCCCCGCAATAGAAGCTGTTATCCTTGCCGCCAAAGGTTCATATTTTGAAATACAAATGTACTACTTTCTTGAATAAAAATGAATCGAAAGGAAATTGATAGCATTCTGCATCATGGGCGCTTAGCCTAATGCATGCATTCATCTTGGATAGAATTATCATGTTTCACCCTGCTTAACCACTTATAAAACGTGTCCTTTTATTTTTTCTCTTTTATTTAGATATTAAAGGAAATACCAAACTACATGAAGTGCTTTATCTAGTTTTGTTGGCAGGGAATTATTTAAACGCGGTAAGCAGTTACACTAACACTCCAAACAGCCATCTCACGGTCAATTCGTCGTCCTAAAAAGTTAAGCCCCCCTCTACTAAATGTTTTCCTTTCTCCTTTTCGAAGTTAATCCTATTTCAATAAAATCAGAGTTTTGTGATTATTGTATATGGATGTTGGGAAAAAAATCACCCGGTGTTCTTGAACAAAAGGTGTGCATTTCCAAACTTGTTATTTGTAAATTCCTTTTGACAATATATTTTTTTAACATTAGGCTTGGGGACAATCTCAAATGAAAATTGACTGAAGGACATAGATTTTACATCAACAAGCCTTTAAAACTGTGCTTTGGATTTCGAATTATCAATAATAAACATGTGCCTTCAAAATGTGTTTTTGTCATTGAAAAAAATATTTTTACAATTATGACTGAACGCTTTTAAAAATGTATAATTTGAATTTCTCTAGGCAAACTCCAGCATTGGCGATGCCGCTGGGTTTAAACTTTCATCCCTCATCAAACTTACAGACACACGGGCCAATAAACCAAGGATGAATCTCATGCATTACGTTGTCATGGTAATTTCATATGTCTATGTTTTTCTCGAATCTTAATTTATTTCCTAAAAAAAAAAAATTCAATTTGAGAACTATAAAAATACTTTTATAGAAAAAATAATAAGAAAAAAGCGGCAAATCTAAATACTTGAGAAAGCAAAACGATTCTACATTGTAAAAACAAAAATCTATTTTTTAAATTTTTAGCAAGCAGAAGAAAAGAATCCTAACTGCTTAAACTTCACGGAAGAGATGAAATACCTGAAGGACGCTTCTGTGTAAGTGTGCTGATAAAATCAAATCAATCAAATCATGACAGATAATTAGAGATATAAATAATGTATTGCAATTGTTTGGAAAAGTATGTTTAAAAAATAATTATGATGATGTTTGTATTTATCTTTGTAGAGCTTCCGTGGAAAATTTGACTACTGACATTAACAATCTTGCCAACAAACTGAAGAATCTGTCAGATCAAATGGGAAACGTCAATCAAGAATTCCGGGACCAAATCTCCGACTTCTTACAGGTAATAAATCCCTCATCCAGATTTCTGCAGCAGGGCGTCTGAATTCCTTGGATATTTTAATATTTCTCTCTTTTCGTTGGAACAGGAGGCAAAATCAGAAATTGACGACCTGCAGGAAGACTTGAAAGATATTGAGAGTCTCCGACATGAACTGGCCGATTTCTTCTGTGAGGATATCAAAACATTCAAACTGGAGGAGGCCTTCCGAACGATGCAAACATTCTGTGAGCGATTCAAGAAGGCCATAGAGGTATGGCACAGACTTATTTGTTTTTTTGTAATTTAGTACGCTTGGTTTATATCACAGTGATCTATATTTTTCTCATTTTTATGATTCAGGAAAATAAACAGAGGAAGAAACACGAAGAAAAGTCAGCTTTGCGCGAGAAACAAAAACAAGAGGAACGAAATAAGAAGAATGCAGGTAATTGTTGTTAACTAAAATTTATCACTTAATCCTTATATTGAAATGAATACTTCTTACCAAGCAATAAACTGACTTATTTTTCTTATCATATTTGTTTTCAGCTGAAGTGCGAGCCAATCCTGATCAAACTCCAGCCAATGCCAATAATGACGATGGATCTATTGTGGACATGTTACTCGCTGACGTTCGTAGTGGATTCGCGAATCGGAAGTTTGGGGACAGTAACTTTTCAGTAACAAAAGTTAAAAAAGTAAACCTTGATGGGAATGACAATGTCACGGACACAAAGGCCGGCTTTGTCCGAGGAGGATACGGAAGACGGAGCATGCGCAGTAAAAAGAGACAGGAAGAAGATGACTTTGCTGATTCAGAAAGTACATGTAGCAGTCTTGAAGATGCGACAGACTTCAGAAAGTCTGAGGGTGCAAATAAAAATGAGTCATTGATGAACATTCTTACACAGCCCGAGGACAATTCTGACCAGCCTAAGTTTGAGCGCTACGGATCACTCCGTCGGAGACGCCAGGAAAGAAAAGAAAACCGAAATCTACTGGAAGTGTTTGAGAGAGAACGTGCACCTTCTCCTAATGTGGATACTTCTAAACAATCTGATGAAATCAAACGCTCTACTACACCTGTAGTTGAAAAATCAGTCTTAAATGAATTTGACACAAGTGATGTGCCATTCAGGCGAACAAAGAGCATGTATGACAAAACTACTCGAAGTTCCGCGAAAGCTTCCAATGAGTCTAAGGACACTGAAAGTGTTGTAGATAGAATCAAAAGAAAACTGGGCAGAAAAGATTCAGCATCGCCCACTCCTGAAGCACAACCAAGCATCACACCAACCAAACCAAAAGAGGAGGCGTCAGAAGAACAACGAACCAGGTGGAGAACTGGGATCACACCAACAGAGGTAAACAGAAATTTACCGATCATCGACGAAAAATCGCGACTAGAAACGCCAACAAGAGAACTGGAAAAAGCAGCTCAGCAGGATGTGCAGGGAGAATCTGAAAACGCAGTGGAACGAACCCGAACTCAAATGGCTCGGCGTCTTAGCAAAAGAAATACTTTAGATCCCTCAGAAATCAAGCATTTACTTGAAATCGCCAACAACAACGCTAATCTAAATGCTGGCAAAGCATCTGATGATAGCCAAAAGGTGTCTGTTTCTGTGAAAACACAGTTAAATCGGCGCTGGATGAGTGACTTGGACAGAAAAGACATAGATCAGGTCCTCAAAGCTATAGAGGACTCTGAATCAAAGAAAGAAGCGACAGAAAGCGAAATGTCCGCTTCTCAAACCTCTGTTCAAGCCCAAGTGACCCCTGTTTCAAAATCGGAAGATTCAAATGCAGGCGGAGAAAGTGAGGCATTGAAAGCAAAACGTAAAATACGAAAACAGCGATCCAATTTATCCCTCGATGATGTCAAACAGGCATTACATTCAAATAAAACTGAAGTGAATAATTTGAAAAACTCACAAAGTTCGGGAGAATCTCCGCAAATAGAAAATATAAAACCAGGTTCTCCGCCGCCCCCTGAAGTGCCTCCCCGTCGATCAAAGCAAAATAACGAAGCTTTAAGTGAAAACAAAGTAGAAACTGAAAAGAAATCTAAAAAAGATTCATCAAATTTAAGCAAAGCAGCTAAAATGGCGGCAAATCGAAAATTTCGAAATAAACGGTTTGGTGATAAAGATCGATCCGCCTCGGACGGACGTTGGAAAAGTGATGTACAAAAAGACACCGTTGATGAAGCTCTGAAAGAACATGGCATGAGCAGGTCAAAATCGTACGATGAATCTGTCGCCCGCAAGGCAGTGAGTGAAAAAGAAGGCTTTTCACTTGTTAATCTGCAGATTGTGAACGGTGAAAAGATAAAATTCCGACGAAGTGCTGGGCGACTTGATTCTGAAAGTAAAAGAGGAGCCAAATATTTCCCTAGCAGTGACAGTGATACTGATAACGTTCCTGATGGTACGTCCTCCCCGAGGAGACCATCCAGCTCCAAAAGTGACAGTCCCAAGAGTTCTAGTCGTTTATCAATCAAATCTACGAGTACATCGACTGAAACCCTCAGATGTGACACCCCCTATAGCGAGGCGGACGCTTCCTCCCCGGAACAAAAACGTAGGAGCTCTGCTGCACAAGACTCTGTAGAGAACCCCATAACAGATACACCAACATCACAATCGGACAAACTGAACATTCAAGTACAACCTGCAGACGAATTTGACGTTTCACCGATGGCAATCATGTCGAAATGGAAACAAAGACGTTCTACACAACGCAAAAGTGCCTATGACAATCTGTCTGACCAAGAAAATCCTATTTCACCTCGATTTACAAAAACAAACGATTCGTTCACTTTTGAGACTCATTCTCTAGGAAGTCCTCGCTCTCATCATGGATTACCTATAAATCACAAGTCAGAGAGCAGCAGTGATTCTACATCGGTGAGGAACGATATCGGATCTCGGTGTAGTTACGCCAGCAGTAGTGACAGTGCTCGTGATGAAGGATTTGAAACTATGTCAGGAACTGTGTCTCAGCGGACCTCATTGAGTAGTACACTTGAATCGGAATTAACCCCGACATTCCCGCGAAAATTGTTCAATCTTAAGGCTGCAAAGAGTGTTTCTCATGAGGATGTGAACGTACCCCCAAAACAGATCATAGACGAAACTGTACAAAAGCAGTCAGAGCTTGATGCCCGTAAACAGAGAACGGAGTCGTGGACAGAAGCTGTGGTTGCTTCCACAACAAACCAAAACAAGGAGTCCAACCTTGACTCATCTGTTGAATATTCAGCTTTATCACCAGACAGCGGCCACGGCACGTCAAAGGAAGACGTCTGGAGCGAGAATATTGACCTCGAAAATACAGTGAAAAACAAATCTCAAAGCTCTGATTCGTCAATAAAAATGGCTCCTTTGGCTACCCCTGAGAATGTGGAGAGATTGTCCCATAAGACAAAGGAACTTCCGAGTTATATGCGTAATACTGCAAGCAGTACAACTAGAGGACGTCCGGGTTCTGCTGGATCAGACTCGAACCGAACCAAAACTGCGAGAAAAAGCACAACAAATCTCAACAAATCTCGCACAAGTGAATCAAACACGAGTATTGCATCTTCTGTTGGCATTTCCGAAAGTGGAACTCATGCAAAGACCAGTCCAAAGAGAAAAGTTTCCTCTAATGTCAGTCAACCAAATTCACGTTCAACGACGCCTCATCCTTTATCTCGGCCTACGACGCCAGCTCACGGGTCTTCAAGGCCGACAACTCCAGCTCATCATAATATTTCTCACACCTCCCCATCCAAAACTGCTGCAAGCGTGACGGCACGTCTCACTGCTTCTTCTTCGCCCAGCAAAGGATTTTCCAGAACCCAGTCATTGCGTCTACCAAAATCGTCGAGACCGTCTTTGGGAACATCTCCCGTAGATTCGGCGAAACCTTCTTCGACTACTACTTCTAAAGCACCTAGGCGGTCATTTATGTCTCCAACTGCTTCGTCTCAAGCTCGAAAAGAAACCAGTGATACACCCCCACCAGTTCCACCTCCGAGAACTGCTTCATCCGCTAACAAACCAGCAATAAAACCCGCCTCAGTCGTAACTTCAGTAAAACACAATGAAAATTCAAAGCCCAAATCTACGAAAACAACACCAGCTCCAAAGCCTACAACTACGCCGTCTTCTGTAGCGGACAGAGCTAAGTCAGCTAACGTAACGAAATCTTCCACGGCGTCACCTCTAACTAGACACGGGAGTCTTCGACTTCCACAGCGTTCCGCGAATAAACTGGTATATCATGAGGATCCAATTCCCGAGAAGGAAACTTTAAAAGCGGAAAGTAAAACAAAATCATTTATGAGTAGAATCGGTGGAAGCAAGGTCAAACCAGAATCGTCTGTAAAGTCTCCTAAATCCGACTCTCATGGCGGACTCGCCACAGTGGCAGAACAGAGTGGTGAAGAGTCCATAACCACAAATAGCAAGGGCTCCATCATTAAACGCATCGTCAATAAGACATCTCCCAAAAAGACGACCGAGAAAACGGCTGTTAAAAAGACAGCAAAAAAATGAACACAAACTGGATATGACTGAAAAAAATCTGTGATAGGTTGACTATCGACCGTTTAGTGCCAAACTAATCGTGAACATCCCCCAAGTTCACAGCGAGTCGCTGACCAGATCGCATGCGTAGTGTCGTATTTCCGGTGTGCAAGTGAGACCGGATGAAGAAAGTTATGATAGTGCTAAAAACGATATAAACACATATAAGACGTATAATTTGTTGATATTATTTAAATAGTGGCTAAAGCACCATATTGTATAACTAGAAATAACTTGACACGGGGAAATCTGTATTCCCCATATGTAGGATTATTTAAGAAAGAAAAGTTGACTATTCAGTACAGAAGGAATGTTGAGGAATAATGTGCATTTACCATGATATTTATTTCCATTTCCGAGGTTCAACTTCACAGACAAGAATTACGTACAATGTGCTTCCATAGCCACATAGGTTGCTCATCTCCATTGACAATCCACTTCAGTGATGTCGTTTCATATGTTTCGTCATATACTATTGGATATTTTGTTATACGTGTAAGCTTATATTAACTGTACTACAGATATACATCGATCATTAATTGTTGCCTTTTTGTTACATAATGTTATTATCAATAAAAACTTGTACAAAATTAATTATGAGATTTCATTTGCTCTTTGGAAAAAAAAATCCAATTCCGAGTTCAGGGACACTTACATTTTCTTTGACTTAGGGACCAAATTAAAGTGAAGGCAAACAGTTTATTATTAGTTCGAACGATAAACAAGAAGCATTTTATCGAAAAACACAGACATTGGAAATGTTAGACCTTTTAAAGAATAGATTTATATAGAAAACAATTTTTAAATTATGATAATTAGTATGTTCTTTAATTTCTTCAGCTACATTTCCCTCTCAAGGTGTTTGCCTCCTTGTTTGTAAGATTACTAACAGTGGCGTAGCATCGTTTTTGAAAGTGGGGGGGGGGGGGCCAGGTAGAGAAATTTTTTTTTTACTTGCATGAAAAAGTTGACAAGCAAAAAAAAAAAAAAAGGAAAAGTTGCCCAAAGTCGAATATCTTATTTCGGGGGGGGGGTTAAACTTTTTCTCAGTGTCAACTACTTCTAGTACCCATTCTAATGCTACATTTTCGGTACATCACTAAAAGTGGGGGGGGGGGGCAACCAGGCTTTCAATTAACATTTCCTATAGTATAAGTGAGGTTGAGAAAAAAAGTGGGGGGCCAGGCCCCCCCTGGCCCCCCGGTTGCTACGCCCCTGACTAAATATTAAAAAGATGCATCAAGTTTTTTTCTCAAGAATTTTAAGTACCCTAGTGGAAGAAAGGGTTTCCTTTGTGTTGCGGGTATCACCATATCAAAGTGTCATGTTGCGAGCGCAACACCTGTTGGAACAAAAATGAATTCTGCCAAAGACCTGCTCTTCCATTATGAAGGCCATAGATAGATATTGTTTGTATATTTACGAGGAAGCGATTTTCTTGTGTCATCGTATTTGATAGGCAGCCAAAATTGGTCCATAGTTGTTTTATTGAAAGATTGTTTGTGTGAGAAGATGACTCAAGCCATTTATAGATATCGGTAATTCACCTTCTATGTTTGTGATTTCCCCGAGTCATCGTTGATTCAATAGTGGGTCATTACATTTTAATTTTCAAAGAAACAGGATGGAATAGATAAATAATTTATGTTTTGCTCAGTGAAACTTCGTAGGTTTTGTAAAATAAAAGACATTTTAGTTTGACAAAAAGCAAACTTAAATATAAAGGGAATTTTAAATGACGTCTCACAGTTATGGTCGAGTTAAAATGTCGGAAATTAAAAAAAAAATATTTCTTATTAAAATATATATATTCTTGGCATATTCAATTTGACGGTTCGTTTGCAGAGAAATTATTTTTTATTTAAAATGAGATGAATATATTGCATTGACGTCGATTCAGCAATTGTGTCTATCAAAGTACTTTTCAGCTGCAAAAATGATATTATACTCTGATCAGAGGTAGTCATCGATGATATAAATTCTTTAATAATATATTTATAAATTTGAGCATCTTCGCTAGCCAAAGGTTTTCAGTCCGTCACATTGTAATGGGAGCGCACTGGACTGAAAGAGATCAATTTTTTTTTTCATAAGAAAAGACCGTGGATTTACCCGAGGAACACGAAAACCAAAGTACCAACCGTTAAAGAGTTATGTCCGAAGTTGTTTTTTTTTAATGGGTCAAATTCCAAGGAAAAAGGGTCAAAAGTAAGGTAAATATCTTGTCACAATAAATACACATGTGATATACATACTGAGCTTACATGTATAATGACCTAGCATCAACTGTTTAAAAAAGTCTTTTAAATCTTAACATTTTTCAGAAGTTGTTCAAATTTCATAGTGGAGGATTAAAGGTCAACTTGTTAGTAGTCAAAGAAAGGTCATGTCAGAAGGTATCCTCAGAAAATGAAGCGTTTAGTTAAATATTTTAGTATTTGATAATAATAAAGACTAAAACATAAAACCATGTTCGCTCTAGTTTCAGAAGGAATAGACCTATGAAATACGAGAGTATCAATTGTCGAGAAATATGACCGACGTTTAAAGCTTTTTTTTTTAAATTTGTCAAACTTTAAGGTCAAGGTTGAAAATTATTACAAAGGAAAGATCTTGTAACAATTAATGCACTATGCATCATAAGAGACCTATAGCATCAAACGTTATGGCTAACTTTAATTTTCCGTAAATTTTTGCAAAAGTGCACCAAACGCCAAGGTCATCCAAGGTCAGGAGGCCAAAAAGTATGGTCTCAAGAAATATATAATTATGTGAAATACGAAAGCTCCAATCAAAGAAAGGTATTATAAGTGAGTTTAAAGTTCTTTGCTGACAGACAAGCACACAGACAGCTAGACAGACAGACGAACAGACAGAATCTTCAATTATGGGGGCATAAAAATCAGATAAAATCACTGTGTTCACTTTTTTAGGGAAATGAATTTCTGTGCATAGAGATCAGAGCTGAAGATAATTTATTTTAAATATATTCATCTTTTATATGCCCAAGTGCGTAGATAATTAAAGACTGCCTTATTTTAACATATACTCGTCATTTAACAGTGACGTAGTTTTAATCTGGTGTAAATAGGGTGTTATTCTTTAAAAAAAAAAATGTCAACGCCCTCTTGATAATTTGGACTCTCAACATGGTCTACTTATATTCATTCCTGCTTGTATCTATCAATATCAAACTCATCATGTTGCCGACAAAGAAATGCAAAGAGGAAACTAAATCGCATTGGTTTATGTAAGGCATTTTTAAAAATCACTTTTGTAAATGATAACAAAAATGGATATATAGGGTGATCCATAAAATATTTGATTATGGATCAAATTCAATCGCATAAAAAATGTTGCAGGCTATGAATACAAAACAAATCCGTGTCCTTTTGTAATTTGCGGCGAACCTCTGATGAAACTCAAGTTAACGTTTTAATTGACGGTACTCAAAGAACGAAATAAAAGATATTTGCTGAAGAGATTTATACTCTTCTGAGGAAGGAAAGAATATACAGTAAAAATTTTAACAAGGAAATGTTTGCTCATCATTTCAGAAAATTGTGTTTATTTGAGGGGCGTGAAGTTATACGCGCTGAATACGTTTAGATAACGACCAAGAGAATGAATTTTTTAAAAATGTATTAAATCGATTTGTTAATAAAAGGTGGAGTTATATCTGACTTAGAATATCAGAAAATTTATATCAGAACAGTCAAGGAAGATTTAAATCCGTCTCAAATCCTTGTCACATGATTTTGGATGTTTCAGAGAGAGAGACACCCCATTTACCGTATCCGATATGTTTTGTATAGATCATCGAACACCACAAAGAACCAAATTAGGTACATTTATAGTACACGGATTTGGAAACGGATTTAAGAAATATTCGTTGAAAGGAAAAAGTTTTTAATAAATCAGCTATCTAATGCCGATCTTAAGTGCCCAATAAAATATATAACTTTATAATTTGTTAATGCGGAATCAGTCTATTAAATATAAATTAACATACTTAACGTAAATTCATACTTCTTCTCTTTTAAAGTTCTGTTCCAATAATGAAAATTTGAGCCCAATATGATTTTTTTTTTACAAAACGTAATAATCTTTCAATACAAAATTCTCATTTCTTAGCAAGTGGCTTTCCTCCTCCTCTGTTCCTATATTGTTATATTATAGCGCCCCTCCCCTCCCTCTTCTACACCCCCGTTTTCAAGGCAACAGTAGTGAAGTACATTTATTACCGATTATTTTGCTTCCCCTTTTTTTGAATAGGACAGCGTGAAGTCTGTATTGATACGATATAGTTTCGAAAAAAAAGGTCAATTCCCTTACGGGTGGGTGGATAAAATGTAGACCACCACTGTTAGGACAACCCTTATCAATAATGGGAGCACGTAAATATCAATATTGGTCATAAACAACACCATCAGAGAAGACGTTATGTCAATATTTCACGTTTTCATATCATTCTTTCAAAGAAGTTTGCTTTTCAAACGAGAATTCTGACAGAAAATAAGAATAAAACAAAAAGAAAAACATTTTTATTCAATTTCGGTCAAAGCCCCGCCACACTGGGAGAAACAAATAAAGAATGTCCCTCCTTCTAAAGATTGTCTCACAGTAATTTGTAAGATATTAACCTTAAATTTCAACAACTATTTAAGATGAATCGCCGGCGGTAAACAGGAGTACTTGTTTTCCCTCGGTCAGTTGTGTTCTGCATTGCACCGCATTGTAAAACAGCCGTAAAACCCGCGGGGGGCTGACAGTAAATATTCATATATGCATTGTTGGGCTTTTGAATAGTGTTTTTACGTTCGAGATAAGCGAAAAATGTCTTTGTAGTTGCTAATCAATCAATCTATAGCCCAAACAACATCCTCTGACAAGACAGAACTGCTTCTATAATTCTATCATCCTTTATATACTGAACATACTTTATTATATCTGCCTACTCACGCTACAAAAAAGACAAGTTTAAAGAACCGCCATTTAATATGACAGAAAAAAACATAAATATGGAAATTCGTTAAATCTATGAAGACACCCTGGAGAGAGAGAGAGAGAGAGAGAAAAAAAAGATTTCGGTTGCTGAGAACTTTATCAGATGATTCAAATTGATACCAGTGGCCTTATGATTCTTCCAAGAATAGGATTGTATATTTTATGCCTAGTATTGCTAATCTTAAGACATACTCAGATATTATCGTGTCATTTAATTTTTCCTCGCACATAAGAATTAAAAAGTAATTAAAAAAAACGAAGCATTGAAAGTTCTGTGTATTACTATCATTAGTCAAATTGCACACTAAAGGGACGTAACTGAACAGTCCAAGAAAATTTGTGTTAGTGTATCATTAAAAAGAAAACCATGTCAAGATCTCCTAGCATAATTTCTTCTTTCTTGTGGCTCAGATTCAAATTTCTGTCTCGAACGATCCAAACCACAGCTCATTTGTCGATCATACCTTATCGATGGCCTTCGTATCACATGAGAAATTCAAAATAAATTCACATATAAATCAAGTCCAATGTACGCCCTTTTCGTAACTTTTTTAAAGACGTTTGAACACGCTGATAGCAATTCAATG